AACCAGCTGCGGTCGGCAAGCATTCACAGTGACCAGACCAGGTGCACCGTTAGAATAGCTGTAGAGTCGCTCAATCCCGAGGATAGGGAAAGTCACAAGAGAGCAGAGCACACAGGAGAGCAAAGGGAAGACAGAATGGCAGGGGGCTTGACGTACCTGCGGTCGGCAAGCATTCACAGTGACCAGACCAGGTGCACCGTTAGAATAGCTGTAGAGTCGCTCAATCCCGAGGATAGGGAAAGTGCAACTCGGGCCCGACCGCAGGTGCCACAACAAAGGGAAACAACAGTAGTCACTAGCTTATTGCCCCAGGGCAGCTGCCCAGGCATCGTGGGGACCGCGTCACACGCGGTGTTTACTCATGTGACTCCCACGAGGAGGACCAGGCCCAGGGGGTCCAAGTGTAGGTGTCAGTGTGAGGTCGTCGCAGCTATGGGATACCAATAGGAAGACCCATAGCGACCGATGCTGAGTGTGTGCGAAAGCAGTGGGAGTGCTCAAATGCGTGGAAGCACGGATTTGACGCTAACAGCCGGCCCTACCACGGCTGGCCCTTTACCAAGGAGGACCCCGATCCTCTTCACCCAGAGTTTGAGTATCTTCACGACGTACGCAACAGCCATTGCTCCTCCGAGACCTTCCTTGGCTTTTTCTTTCAGAGGCCACTTGCGGCATCACACTCCAGTATGCCCTCATGACCCTTTTCCATCATGTACCGATGATCTGCCAGGTTTACAATTTGGCACAGCCCGGCTATCCGTACAAGAAGCTTTCCGTGCCCGTCCTCTTTGATAAGAAGACTCAGGTTGGTTCATCCTCCACGGGCCTGCAATGCGTCCCGGACGCAATCTCATCAAGCATGCCGCGGGCTCGCGATCATTTTTTTAGACCATTGTGAACAATGAAAGCAGCGAAATCATCCGTGCGTCAGCCTGCCCCCAAGCCTCCCGCGCGCCACCCCTTGGCCTTTTTTTCTTTAAAGAAAAAAAAAAAAAAAACCCCAATCAGACAACTTTCCTCTGTCCTTTTCAAGGACAACTTGAGGATTTCTTCCGATGATCTGTTCTCTTTGTGGCGCTCACCTCTTGGTGTGGTGCCTGACTCGTGCACATATCCTTGACTTTTAGGCATGTTCAACTCACAGTTCAACGATTTGGCCAAGCGTCCCGAGCTGGACCTGGAGCCGGCCGATTTGGAATCGGCCATGACCGAGATTGACGAGCTCGTGTATCCCAACATCAACGATGTATGTGGCAGACACTGTCTTGTATCAAGGCCGAGTTTTTGGGGGTGTGCAGCTGATTGAACTCGTGTT